CCTTGCAGTTTGCAATTGGATCATTAAGAATCAAGTCAAAATGGAAATATTTAAAAGTTGTATATTTATACATAGCATATAATCATTTGGTTTTGATATTTATATTATAAATTTAAAGGCTGAAAACACACACAAACCAGGGTTTCATTACGTTTTACATTTTACATTTGAAAGTTACAGTTTTACATTCGCAGCTTCACATTTTCCCTACATCTACCGATCGTTTCTATGGCAGATATATTATATGATATAGTTGTCCGATTTTCATAAAATGTATACCAAAATTCTGTAATATTAAAAAAGGCTTATATCTCAAAGTAGATGCAAATACGTTAATGTTTATTAGTTTACCTTTCGATTTACGTAAAATAAAATCTGAAATTCTGAAATAATATAAAATGGCTATACGTATATCGTATCAGTGACGGTAAAATTTTTTTTCTAAAAATTTGTCGATCACTTGTATGGCAGCTATATAACATAGTCGTCCGATCCGGCCCGTTCCGACATATATAGCAGTGAGAGTATATAGAAGACTATATGCAAAGTTTCATTCAGATAGCTTTAAAACTGAGGGACTAGTTTCCGTAGAAACAGACAGACGGACTGACGGACATGGCTAGATCGACTCGGCTGTTGATGCTGATCAAGAATATATACTTTATAGGGTCGGAAACGTCTCCTTCACTGCGTTGCAAACTTCTGACTGAAATTATAATACCCTGCAAGGGTATACATGTGGACCTTGCGACTCCAGGTACATGCTTGTTTATGCTATCAGCTAATATCCGCGAAGAGAATAAATGGAAAAGGATGCAAGAAAACTACTACTAGCGTGCTTATCATTGTTATTTGCACAGAGGACTCTAAAGGGCTCATGCCGTTCAAAGGATGTTCTACAGTGGGGCAAAACTAATGGTATAAAGTCAGCACTTTTCGCATCTCGCAGATTAGGTTATAGATGAATGTAATAATAACTAGCATAGTTCTACGATTAGATAAAGATAGAAGGAGTCTACTCGTATACGTCGGTAACCCCTGGTTTGCATTCCAGTTTGAACCGCGAAAAACGAAAAGTAGAAAGTTCTTTTGAACCAATTCTATGCGTGTACTATGGACGCCATACTGAGGGCTCCAAACAGAAGATCCATATTCTAAGATAAGCAGAACAAGTGAAGTGTATAGGGATTATTTTATATAGGGATCATTGAATTCCTTCAACCATCGTTTAATAAAATCAAGCACGCCCCTTTATTCACCATACATGAAATATGATCGATAAAGTCAAGTTTAGGATCCAGACGGACACCGAAATCATCAACTATTTTAATTCTTTCCAAAGAGCAGCAGTTTAGCATATAATTTGCAGGCTCAGGAACGAAAATTGTTAAGATCTGTCAGTAAGTCTGACTGGCAAGAATCGAATTATCGAACAAGACACAGATTAAAATTACCATTGAAGATGACAATACGGTATGAAAGCGATATACAGTAAATATAATGAAGAGTATGAATAGCTTATAAAAAATTGATATGTGTAATTAAATAGATTATATATAAGGTTTTTTAATAAAATACGGCATTTCAATTTTCTTTGAATCTTACTTTATTTTTGCTTAACCGATATCTTTTAGCTTGAAGTCCTGGCCTTTGGAATTTTTGTTAGTTTTTACATTGCTTCGAATGCCGGAAATGTGATGAATCCGAGGCAACCGAAACCTTGGAGCATCTCATTTGCAAATGTCCGGCCCTAACGAGGGCAAGAATGAGATACCTAGGCTCTCCAGTTCTGGCATCGCTAGAAGATGCCTTCAGGAGGAAGCCAGGCGAAGTCCTTGACTTTGCGAAAAACACCTTGATATTCAAGGATCTCGAAACCCGCATAAATAGTCTCTAGGTCCATCCGGAAATTTCCCCGGATAGCTATGGGCCATATTGGCCTATGCGTGGCCCCACGAGGGCCGTCCGGATTAACCTAACCTAACATTGCTTCGAGTTTTCTTTTAATCAAAATTATTGATTGTAAAAAGGTAAAAAAAAAACATTTACGATATTCGCCTACCGGGTGGTTTCTTTCGTTCTTTCGGCCGTCTCCAAAACTACGGTATGGCCTCAATCTATTAGTTGCCTTTGCCTTGCCATATTCTGCTATGCCAATTATGTTGACAAAAAAATTAATTTGGCCAGATTTTAATTCCCTTTTTTTAAGCAGCCGACTCACACCAAATGACAAAATTTTTTTTTTTAATTTTTAATTTTTGGGTCTTTTCCTCTATGTTTCTCTCTTTTCCTCTTTATGCCTATTCCTCAATTCGTGAGGTTACATTTTTTTCTCTAAGCTGCCACTTTATTCGCACTTTTCTTTTCACTCCCTTTTCAGCCTTTAATTTTCCCTTTTTTACGGGCACTATTTTACCGGAGCTCTGAGATATTTCTCATCGTCCGTAAATCAGGTCAGGGAGAGGAACAGGGGTTGTAGCTCAAAAGAAGATTATCATCGAATCTCTCTCCGGCTTCAGTCGTTCTTCGTCGATCGTAAGTCGCGTAGGCACTGGCCGCCTCTCTATATCAATAAGCGCTTCAATGCGAACTTCTTGTGCGCTCCGCTGCTGGAGATCCGATCTATATCGTAATTAGCGGGCTTGACAGCCGACCGACATTTCGCCGTGTTGACTTCTTTGAATTTCTGACAAATCAAGTTCGGTATCCGACCCACAGATGGCGCTTAATCAGCTTGGTTCTTATTTTGTTTACTAGCGCTACAGAACCCAGAAAGGCATATTTATACGCTGCGATTTCAATGAAGTAGCTAATATATAAAAACAGTGGTATGGTATCATTGCCCCATAATTAATGCGGCAGTGTCATAATAAATAAGCGAAGCCGCCGAAGCAGTGCAAACAGAGGATCCCAGGCGAACCAGATTAAGCAGTAAAAGCAGGAGATCACTAGTGTAAGCAGTTGAAGCAGCGCACACAGAGTAAAAAGTAAAGCAGATAAAGCAGTGTAAGCAAGGGTCCAGTTTAAGCAGTGAACGCGTTTTGAAAGAATACGATGATCACCGTGGACGGCCGTCTACGTAGTGACGTAGTGAGCACAGACAATTGATATGGGGGCTAAATTGCAAAAATAGATATTTTAAAAATTTTGTCGGCCTTTCCAAATGAACAAAATGTTCTGGTTTGCCTGTAAAAACTACTTTTCTTGGTTCTCGGAACCATTATTATTATATTAAATAGCTTCATATGTCAATATGTCTCAAAATTGCATGGCATGCACCGATTGATATGCCAATATCCTCTGCAACCTCCCTACGTGTGTTTTTGATTTTCTATGATTTACCATTACCACTTTCAATCTTATTTAGTTTTTACGGTATTTTAAGGTAGGTAAGTGAATTTGAGCACTTTTAAAAAGGTGTCTAACGCCATAGATTATCAATCATTTTTTAAATATTTGAACCAAGGTACCTTTCAACTTAAATTTTTAGCCCTTTCTAAGTTTTTCAATTTGAATTTTATTTCTTAATTAAATTACTACCGGTACATTAAATGGGAAATCGGTTATAAACAGAAGAATAGTTATTTTCGAGACTTTCTCAGATTTAAGAACAAATATCATACTTGGACCCGAATCACTCAAATCCAAAAGCCTCCTGACCCCACGGGTTCTGGTAAAGGACGAGATACCAACATTTATAAAAGATCCGGAACAAAACCATAAAACTGTAGGTAATGGTAATAGCAGGCACCTGTTTCTATCTATTATCCTTTTGAAAAAAAGAACAGGTGGTAATCAAGACCAACTAATGTCTTAGCACCTGCCAAATGTCTTGTTTTATTTCGAGACCATACGTTGGATAATCAGGAGAGAAATAATAAATGAAGTATTAGTTGAATATTGCTAGTGTTTTTCGATTCTTATATGCCAGCAGCACTTCATAAAGATATCGCTTCTAGAGTGGGGTAGAGATTTCAAAAGTAAATGCATGTATTCTTGATCAGCATTAGTAGTCGGCGTTCCGTCTGTCTCTTCACCGGTCCATCCGTTTGTTGGGGTAAAACAATAAATTAAATTGTTATTTGTATTGTACATAAAAAATTAATTTTAAATTTAAAAGTTTGCTCAAAGTTAAAAAGGGTTTTATTGATTCAAGATTTCGTCAATCTAATTAAATGCCAGAAAACAGATTGCAAAAATATTTGTAAAATTTAAACTATGACTGACATAAAACATCTAAAAATATAACCGAATTTCCATAAAAATGTTACTTAAATTCTGGCATTTAAAAAGTAGATATTTTTTGAATTAGTTTCGATTGTTGTATTTCTTGTTTTAATACATAATAAAACATTACAAATACAAATAAATATTGTCAGTTGCTTAATAATATAAAACAATTTTTTTTATCTTTCTTTATTCTTAAACAACAAAATTTAAAAGTGCAAAAATACAAAAAAATAATTTTTTTTTTTTTTTAGTTCTGTCATTTTATTAAATTATTTGACTTAACTTATCTTAAATTTAACAGAAGCGAGAGGTTTAGCAGTTTCGGGAAGTTTGCTTTGCGTTTACTACGACTTTTAATTGCCTTAGATGAAGAACTCATTTTAGTTTCAAAGAATATACATATGTATGTATGTTTCTTTACAATACACAGGAAGAAACAAGCGGTTCTTGCTTGAAAACAAATAGAAATAGGTATGAATATAAACTCACATACAACCTTTCGATTGGTAAAGCGAACCAAGAGCAACACCCGCTAAAAAGTCGACAAGAACCGGCTAACATGTGGCTGACGTATTTGGCCCAAACACTTGACCGAAACACCAGCAGCTGCGCCAGAAAACGGCGACTTTAGGGGTTGATTTCTTTCGGCTCGCCTCGCAATCGCTAGCCGGCGTACTGCTGCCGCTGTGCTGACGTCGCTGCTAGCGTTGGCGCTTTGCTCTTTGGCTAACTTGCAGCCTTTGTGTTTCAGTTTCAGTTCGAACGTCGCACTCTGAGAACGTGAAAATACGGTTGCCTTCGGTGCCTCTGTCCGCGAACCTACGACAAGTAGAAGCCATTGAAATGCGTGTGAACGTAAAACCCGACCAAATATTCATGGCTTGAGAGTTTTTGCTGTAAGTGGGAAGCAACGCCAGCAACGGGAGTGTGGGAGAATTAAGATAGTAACGAAAAGCGCCGTCATGATTACTATAAAATTGCTATAATAACCTCAGTGAAAAAAGAGAGGAAATGCTACATTAGTATACTATATGTATGTGTAAAAGAAAACACAAGTAAAAGTGAGCCCAAAAGCTTAATATTAATTAATTCAAAGAAAATTCCCATTGAATTGGGTGAATTTCTGAATTTTAAAATCTAAAAATCTAAAATCGCCCAAGCAAAAAAGTCTAACCTTGAAAACGATTATAAATATGTTAAAAAAAAACACAAATATATTCTGAAAATGTAACGCGAAAGTAATTCTGATTCGGAGTGAAGAAAGTAAGCAAAGTATTTGAAAACATCAGGAATTGTGAAATTCACGAACTTCATTGAATACCATTAAAAAGGCCAAATTTAAAAAATGATGGAATATTTTATATATGTTTCCTTAAAGCGAAAGTCTTTTTATACCTACGAACATACACATGCAGAGGTATACACATGCAAACACGTATGAATGTATTACTTAAATTTAGCATATGGGACGGTTTAAATATGTATGTATGTACACATGGATCCACACCATCATCGGCTAAACAGAGGTCGGGCCAGCCGAAATTATATCACTGACGAATCTACTTTTAGAAATAGCGCGCAATGCTTTTTTCTGGTTTAATTTCGCACTAAACATGCATATATATGTACATATGTAAAATGTAAGAAAATCAATAAAAAAAAATGGAATGGAAATATGCTTTTTAAAATAGTCTTATTATGGAAAACATTAATGCTTTAACATACATATGTATGTATGTACATATAAATGTTTAAGACGAATGTCATCATTAATCTGATAAAACATATTGAAGTCCTTGAATTCAAATAATTACAAAGGATTTGAATATTTCTTGTGGTCAAAAAAAGACAAAGTTACTTACCATTTTATTTACTCATAATATGTTTCCCTATATATGGGCATATACCTGCTCAGTGTTATAAAAACATGTGCAACTATCTTACATATTCTTCATTATATTATTTCTTTGTCAATAACCACCCCATCCTTCCTGCATTGGACGATAAAATAGGTAGAAAAAACGAGAAACATGCTTGAAGTAATTCATGGTTCGTTGACCAATACGAGAATACCACTAAAGTTGACTTGGGAACATGGGGGTAGAGATGGCAAAGACCATCGAACCATGTAGAGAGAGGGTAAAAATCCCACGCATAAATTTTGAATACGCTTAGGGATCTGTAACTGTAGTGCTAATTACAACATTATAAAATATATATCCTTACTATCACAGCCGTGGTACTCTGTCTTTTTGGCTGTGGTTTGTTTATCAGAAACCAAACTAATAACTAGTTCAGCTTTCGGCAAAGCTTAATTTGAAGTGTCGGAATATTCGAAACTACCGAAATAAATATATTGTAGCTTATATTTGTTTATTTATTTATCGACAATATTTAATTCATGCAACAGCTTTGGCCAAAATATTTATATTTATATTCCGTATATATAAAAAAAAATCTTGTTTAATAAGGCATATTTACAAATGTAAATGCAGTTAAAAAATCACTTTCAAGTTTTAATTGGATATCATTTTAGCTCACTATTTGCATACATATAATATTTGGTGATCGTCACAAAGTTCTTCCATTCTGTCTATACATATGTCCAAGTAAATTTATTTATGTATTTCCGTTGCTCATGCTATTGCTAGAGGCCAATTTTGTGCATATGGTGAGTTTAACTTACTGCCTGAATATTAAAACAAAAATACATAATATGTACGTATGTATTTCCAATTTGAACATTTGTATAGTACACTTCTGGTGGGCGCTCATTTATTCTCATGTACAGAGACTTACAGGGTTGGCCAATAGTTTGTAAAGCAGTTAAGGCACGGCTGATGAAAGTACATATGTGTGTCTATTTACACCAATATTAAAACATAATTTAATTATGAGCAAGAAAGGAAGCTAACTTCTGCTCGCCGAAGTTTGTATACCCCTGCAGTGGATAAAATTTCAAAACCTGATTTTTAAATGGTATAAAAATGAATAGTTACTTTGTTACAGTTACTTTGTTTTTGTTTAAGATTTGAAAAGTCTAATATAATATTTATTAAAAATATATGTGTTAACCAAAAACAAAGTAACTATTCATTTTATATTCAATTAATTAATTTCTAGATTACTTTTTTGTCAGATTTCACTGTGGACGGCAGTCTACTTATTGACTACGATCAGTGATCAGTGAGAATGTAGGACTACTTTTTAGAACCATATAATTGAAAATCTGGTCCGATGGGAACTATTCATATCTTGATCTTGGCCAAAAGTTGTTTTAGCGCGACTTATAACGGTATACTAATGTTGAATAATTTTACTAGTTTACTTTTTACCACTCTAGTGGCAGTAGGTATTACTGAAACTAAATAATTCTACAAAGGAGCCGAATTGGAAACTAGTTTATTTATTTTTATTTTTGGTTATTGCCACAAAATTTTACAATAGAACAGAAAGTGGTAGAATAATTTGTGCTGTTTAATTTAAATAAAGTTTAGTTTTAGACAAACAAGAATAAGATGTCATTATCAAGAAGGTCGCCCAAATCTAGTTTATTAAATATCTTTATACCCTTGCAGGGTATTATAATATCAGTCAGAAGTTTGCAACGCAGTGAAGGAGACATTTCCGACCCTATAAAGTAAATATATTCTTGATCAGCATCAACAGCCGAGTCGATCTAGCCATATCCTTTTGTCCGTCTCTCCACCGTCCGCAAACTAGTCCTTCAGTTTAAAAGCTATCTGAATGAAACTTGCAAATAGTCTTCTGAATACTCTCACTTCTATATATATCGGAACGGGCCGGATAGGATGACTATATCATATAGCTGCTATACAAATGATCGACAAATTTGTAGAAAATATGATAACTTGGCTGTTTTTCAACATATTTAGATCATTTTAAAGATTTTTTTTTATTATTTCAGAATTTTAAATTTAATTTTATGAAAATCGGTCGACTATATAATATAGCTACCATAGAAACGATCGGTAACTGTAACTGTCAAACTGAAAATATAATAAGTAAAGGTAAAATGTAATGAAACGTTGTATTGTGTAGGTTTTCAGCATTAAAATTTATATTGTTTATTTTATTAGATATTTCAAATCTAAAATATTATTATTATTATTATTTTTTTTTTTTTTGTCTTTTCGCGCGGGGTCCCGCTTCCACCTCCCGCCCAACCGACCGAGGGGCGCAGCCGTGTGACGTACGGCACGAATCGCGAACTAGATAGACGCGTTAGAAGGACAGACGAAATGTACGAGGAAACATTAGGAGATAATATAATAAACTATAAATATATAAATAAATAAAAACACATGCAAAATAATGATCTAATAATAAAAATATATAACCATAACCATAATTTAATAAATAAACAAAATATAAAAAATAAAAAAAAAAAAAAAAAAAAAAGAAAAACGCATGCAAAATAAGTGCTACTCTACGAGATAACTACTACAAGTCATGCAAGAATAAATAAATAGGTAAAATAAAAAGAAACGCATGCAAAATTAGACTACGGTGCTACACTACGAGCTAACTCTACAAGTATTAAGGTTTTTAATATAGAAGGGTTATCGCTACGAATTATAATATCAGAGAGGCGGTTGTAATCCGTACATAAAACCCTAAAGGGTTCATGTACTTCAAACTCCCGCCTACAGTGATTTACTACTAACGGGATAAGGGTTCTAGATGTTAGTCGGGGAACGTGGAAGTTAAGCTGCCCTAAAAGAAAGGGGCTCTCAACCACACCATTTATAAGGTTATGAAGGAATACGACACCAAGCATTGTTCTACGGTTAGCTAGGGAGGGTAAGTTAATTAATAGGAGTCTACTTGTATAGGACGGTAGCCTCTCATCAGCATCCCAAGGTAGGCCACGGAGGGCGAAAAGTAAAAAGTTCTTTTGTGCAGATTCAATACGGTTAATATGGATTCCGAATTGAGGACTCCAGACGCATGAACCATACTCCAATATAGGGCGAACTAATGAAGTAAAAAGGGTCTTCGTTATATAAGGGGAATCGAATTCCTTCGACCACCTCTTAATAAAACCTAGCATGCCTCTGGCCTTATTAACCGTGCACGAAATATGTTCAGAGAACGAAAGTTTAGGGTCTAAGCGAACGCCTAAATCATCAACAAGAGATATTCTTTCAAGAGCACAATCATTTAGCATATAAGTGGCAAACTGGGGAGTGACACGTGAAAATGTCATCAGCTTGCATTTAGAGCTGTTGAGATGTAATAAATTAGCACGACACCATGCTTGAAAGTTATTAAGATCCGATTGCAGGTCTGACTGGCAAGAGCTGTCCTTATACTGCAAGCATAGCTTAACGTCATCAGCGTACATAAGTACTCTAGAATTCGTTAGAACCAGCGGGAGGTCATTGATAAACAATGTAAATAGCAGCGGGCCGAGGTGGCTACCCTGCGGGACGCCAGAAGTGACTCTGAGGAATTTGGATAGAGCATTTTTAAACAGAACCTTTTGAGTTCTGTCACTCAAATAGCTCAAAATCCATTTAAGTAGATCGACAGGAAACCCGATTAAGTCAAGCTTCCTTACAAGAAGAAAGTGATTAACCGAGTCAAAGGCTTTACTGAAGTCTGTGTAAATCACGTCGGTTTGAAAGTTACGTTGGAAACCTCTAATAACGAAAGAGGTGAGTTCCAGAAGATTTGTAGTGGTCGATCTTCGCCTCATAAAACCATGCTGACATGGTGAAATTACGGATCTGCATAAATGCTGCAAGTGGGGAGTAATTACATTTTCGAAAAGTTTTGGAATTGCCGACAACTTAGAGATTCCTCTATAGTTGCTGGCGTCCGATTTGCTACCTTTTTTGTGGAGAGGAATGATAAATGATTCCTTCCAAATAAGGGGAAATTCTGAGGTTTCTAAAGATAAGGTAAACAATTTCAAAAGGGGATTGCACAGAGCTCCGGCACAATACTTGAGCACGCAGCCTGGTATTCCATCGGGACCCGGTGAGTAAACTGGTTTTACACGATGAAGATCCGAACTAAGGGAGCTTTCGGTTAAAATGGGACTGAAAATTAGGTTCGACTTGGGCAAATCAAAAGAGTAAGTCTGATCTGAGCTATTCGAGGAACAATACGTAGTTTTGAAAAACTCGGCAAAGAGATCGGCGATGGCCTGATCAGAGTTTGCTGTAGCGTTTCTGAACGAAAGCGATGAAGGATGTAAATTGGGTTTTCGCTTAGTGTTAACAAAGTTATAAAAC